GACACACCATACATGTTGAGCACCACCAGGAGAATGGTCGTGACTCCGGACAGCACCCACACCCACAGGTGGTAGTATGTGCCCCACTACACACCCACAAGCAGCCATTACTACCGCACACGCACACACCGCACACACACACCGCACACGCACAGCACACGTGCACCACCGCACGCGCACACGAGGGGCAGACGAGTAGAGTACCTTGGAGGTGTCGAGGAAAGGCTTGCGCAAGTTGGCCATCAAGTTGAGCGAAATGATTCCGTTCCAGCTGATGGAGGCCATGCCCCAGAACTGAGCCCACACGGCCTGCCCGATGCAGTAGGCCGTGATGTCCTGGTACGAGATCGAATTCGGCAAGATCGACGTGATCGCAAACTGTGTGCGCGTGCGTTGTACACGCCTTATCGTCAGCGCACGACACGCACGACATGCACGACGCGCACGACACGCACGACACGCACGACACGCACGACACGCACAGCATAAAGGAGGTGTTGGGTGGCACCTTCAGTGCAAACATGAAGTCGCATATCGAGAGGAGGAGCACGAGATTCGTTGGGTGTTGTCGCAGTTCCTGAGCCGACACGCGTGCGACGTCACGACACACACGGCACGCAACGCACGCAGCGAGTTCAGTGAGCTCGTGAGACGACATGCGCGGCGGCGGGCGTGTAGAGCGGCACCTTGACGAACATGGCTGAGAGAATGATGAGGAAGGACCCCACCAGTGACAGGAAGGCCAGCGAGCCTTCCACTCGATACAGTTCCTGCGGCCATGCCCCCCGACAAAAAATAAAAATATTTCTATTAATAACAACAATAAACTGGCGCACCATCCTCGTGGGCGTGGAGAATGAACAGAATAATTGCTTAAATTTAAATAAGATTTAATTATGGCAGCAATTATGCGAATCATGCCGCATTGAAATAATTTTGGTGATTAAGATTATGTGTACGCACCACCATGGCTGTGCCTCAAACCGAAGGCGCACGCGAGAGGAAATGGAGAACGCCAGAAAAGCTCAGGCGTCGGTGAGCATCAAGATCGAATGGCGTGAATCACCAACAACGATCCAGTCTTCGAGCTCGCTGTAATTTTTGTCGACCGCCTCGAGACCTGATATTTCATTTCCCAATTCCAAACAAATTGGTGTTTTGGACAAACTTGACTGTGGAGTTTTTATTTTTATTTGTCTTTTCCTTTTGTTTTGTGTGTCGCGTACGTTGTGTGTCGTGTGTGTCGTGTGTCGGTGTGCGTGTCGTGTGTCTTGTCATAGCGCACGAGTTTTGCCATTACGCCGGCGTTGCTGGTGAGCTGCGCGAACGCGGCCAGCTGCTGGTCGTGCGCCCTGATGATCGACAGCTCGCGGAGCCTGGTGAGGCGCGTGACGTGGGTCATGGTGGTGTTGTAGGGCACGGTCAGGTTGGTCAGGCTCACGAGCGTGTCGGCGTGCTTGAGCAGGCCCTCGTCGACCCACACGTCGGTCAGCTGGTAGCTGAGACTGCAGCCCTGGATCTTCTCCAGACCGCCGGGATGGAGCGCCAGCGCGGCCACGAGCCACTCGTCGCTCCTGTCGGTCACATTGCCACAGCCGGCCAAGTAGGCCGCGAGCTGGATCTCCTTGATCTCGGCGAGCGCCAGCACCAGGCGCTGTGGCAAGCTTGTCAGAAATTTTGTGACGAAACGCACGGCACACACCAAGCAAACAGTTCACATGTGTGGCATGGCGTGGTCATTGATCGCGTACCTCTCGCAGGCGAGGCGCGTGGCTGGCCATGAGCGACAGGACGCCAAGCGACAGTGCCTGCCTTTCGATGTCGTTGGCACCAGCCACCGCGCGACTGATGATGTCGTCCAGGCAGCTCTCCGAAACCCTCAAAGCCTTTCCACAAATATAAACACTCAGGGAACACCGCAACGCTGGCTCGAGCCAGCTGCGACGCCAGCAGGAGCCGGCTGACGAGATCGAGGAAGCTGCCACGCGTGGACATCCACCTCTCCGCCGCCTGCATTGTCTCGCGCAGCAGCGAAGCCTGCAGCATTCCGCCCCCAGGCCAGCATCAGTACTTCACGCTCTGGCACGGTTACTAACCACTGTTATGCTGGTTGTTGGGGCCAGGTACATCGTGCGAGGCATCTTCTTCAAGCTGGCCTGTGACTTCAAGCTGGGCAATGTGAATACCGCCCACTGCCGCTGGCTTGATGGTCTTCTTTGAGTTCGGCTAAGTAAGGGCGCAATGTTGTCTCTCTTCTTCCTGATCTTTGGTTCCCTAACCCTACTGGACCACCTTTTGGTCAAAGACCTTATAAAGAAAGTGGACACAGCACTTTTATGAACCTGTGGAATGAGGAGGTTTAGAGAATCAGACGCTGAAGCTGAGCCGCTGCTCCTCCACTCCACGCCGGGCAGCTCGCGCCAGTGAGCAGACACCTCTCTCCTCGCAGAAGGACCCAGCCGAGTATTTGAACAATGTGAATTAATTAAACAAAAGGTGCTGAAGCCAAAGAAGGGGCAAGTGCTCAACAACCAAGGAGGAGAGGACGATGTCGTCTGCGCGAGCCTACGATTTTATGGCCCTGCGCCGCCAGTGGGCCGCCATTGAAGAAGACACCCGCACTCCCGCCGCGGTCGCCGCCAGCCGTGGCCCTACCGACGCACCCTCAGCTCCTCCTCGTGGCCAGCCGCACCATCAACAACAAACTGAAGACAAGAACGAAGGAGAAGAAGAGAAGAAGACGAAAATAACGACCGTTGATGAAAAAAGGCGAACAGAAAAGGCGGCAGATGAGGCAGAGGCGCAAATCGTCAACGATGATCTCGCCAGCGGGGAAGACGAGGACCCGGCCAGCCTGGGAGGCATCAGAGGTGGAGGCTATGGCGCGCCCGAGCAGTGGATCGCAGAAGATGAGGAAATCCAGAATCCGAGTAGCGGCAAGATGGAGCAAGATGATGATGACGATGGCGCCTGCGCGGCACGGGGCGGTGGCTATGGGGCCGTAGAGGGAGCGGCACCAGACGATGCAGTCGACGACAGGTGGAGCAGCGTGTACGAGGCCTCCGACGTGTTCATCGCTTCCCTCCAGCAGTCGGCGACCCTCTACAAACAGAAGAAGAAGAAGGAGCAGGCAAAGGGCGGTGTAAGTGAAGGCGAGGGCGAAGGCGAGGGTGAGGAGGTGATGGAGTGGTTCGCGAAGTACTACCAGCCGGGCGAAGGCTCCAGCAGCAGCGCCTACGAGGACGACGACCAGGTGCACGCGACCATCACCAACAATAAGAAGAGGAGCAGGAGGACCAAGGGCAAGAAGAAGAAGAAGGTCGCCACGAAGAAAGAGCAGGAGCAAAAGGGCGAGAGTGAGGACGACAATGA